TTTTAAGTATTTATACATAATACTTTTTAGTTAATACATATTTGTATACATTTTTACACCTGACTTCACAAACCAATTCTTTTTCTATTTTTTATGCATTTGTACCATTGCAGAGATTGAGAGATCTTTGCATATTGGTTATTGTGTGATGAATGAAGTAACTGTTTGCAGATTGTGTCTACTGTAAATGCTATCTTTACTGATATTTCAATATTTTTGAATTGTATTTTTCTACATTATATAGGTGCTTTTCTGCATTTTCCTCTTTTCTGCTTTAGTTGGGTTTATTTTTGTATGGGCATAAAAATAAATGTCACTGTAATAAAAAAAGGAATGTCATAGAAATTGTATGTATAATAAATCTAGTTATAAGAACATAGACACTGTATGTTAGCAAATGTATCTCTCCAAATCTCCCCAAGGAATAAAACTGGTATTTCCTAGCCTTAATAGCATAGACTTCTGGTTACAGAATCCTCCTGTTTACATTGGCTGGTTTCTACCTTTCACCTGAGGAATTTATTGCTCAGAAAATTTTAGGCATGTTGGCTTTCTACAGCTTATTTCCTGGTAGCTGTAGGCATTCCTGTAGCCTCTGGTTTGTTTGTAAGTCTTCATGATACTATTCTAATACATCATTCCTTTTTTTTTTTTACTCAGTCTCTGTTTTGTCAGTCAGAAACACCACATTATATAAAAATGGTGAATACCCAATGTGCACATAAGTAAGTAATCAATAGAAACCAGTTCTATTTATTGCATAACCTGGTCAGCAACCCCAGAGACAATCACATAGCTGTGCTCTATATCTCAGAGGAAATGCCATTCCCTAAATGATGCCTTGGAGGGCACCCATTAGCATAAATATCAAAGGAAAGAGCTTTCACATGGTTCATCTGCCTTTAGCAAGTCTCATTACCAACCTTTGTTCTGCAGCCTTTCATAAATCCTTTGGCTTGTGGTTTAGATCTAAGCCTGGAGACCTTGTAAATGCAATTTCTCTTACAATTGTTATGCTGGAGGACATACATTTGGCTGTTTGTGTGGGGGTGGAGTTGCGTGCATGCATTTGCACTTTTAGTTGTTTTAGTATGGGGAAAAGTTTGGGGAGTTCTGCTGTGTTTACATTACAGTATAACTTTTAAAAGTTAATGCGTATTTCTGGCAGCTTTATTGCCTCTTTCTTGTTATTACTTTTACCTGTGACCTTTCATTTTTCTTTTGTTAAAAGAAATATTTTCTTTTGTTAAAAGTAATCTCCATTTAATGTTTCTCTTCCTGTGACATTGTTTGACAACAAAATCATGACCTGTTTTTTTCTGAAATTTGTATCTATATCTGTTATATATTTACCTTTAATCATATAACTGTAATATATCTCCATAGCTCATATCTCACTGAATTCTTTCCAATGTGATGAATCTTTATTTAACTGGGGGCTCCATGCCACTGCAGTGTTTGATGTTTTTTCCTTTTCTTTTCTTTTCTTTTCTTCTTCTTTAACTTTTCTTTCTATTGTTTTCTTTCCTTTTTTTCTTTTTCTTTTCTTTTCTTTTTCTTTTTTTTACTTTTTCTTTTTCTTTGTCTTATTATTTTCTTTACTTTCCCTTTATTTTTTTTCTTTTCTTTATTTTCCTTTCCTTTTTCTTTTAATGTTTTCTTTTCTTTTCATTCTTTTCTTTTCTTTTTGTTTCTTTTCTTTTCTTGTATCCTCTTCTTGTAAGTCACAAATGAAATCATGAACATGAACGGGGCCAAGTCTGATTCATGTGGTACTACACTAGGTACTTGTCTCTAATTACTGTGGTCATTTGTCTTTCAAGTAGAAAGTACCATCCATTCAAAGAGTTCAAGGTTAACTTCAAGTAGATGTTCTGGATTCTGTAGCAGTTTTCAGCCTTATCATGATTATGCTGTTACGTTTTCCAATGTCCATATTTGTCTTTGGATTTGCTTTATCCAGATGGTAATAGCATATTTTTCTTGCACAGAAATATAGCACAGTTAATTATTTGTGCCATATATCTTATATTTTTGTAATTTTCAATTTTCCGTAATACAACCTGTGCAGCCAGTCACAGCAGCCAGGAATAATGCTAAAGCCCCCTTCTAAGTGCCAAATGAGTCAAATCACACTCCAAGAGGTTTGTGCGAGTCTTTTCCGTTACCTTGGCCTTTGTTCATGACGGCAAGTTCATATCACCCAGCCAGAGGGTGTTTTGTCCAATGACGGCATGTTCACATCACCTGGCCCTCAATGCATATTTTTCCATAACGGGACTGTAACATCATCCAGATTGTAGGGGTTAATGTAATTAGGAATATTGATATTAATGATGTACTGAACGCTCTTAAACAATCCAGTTAGAGATCTTATTCAGTTGTTTTACTAAAATCGTATCTAATCATTTCATCAAGGCTTTCATTTTGTTCTTTCTGATGTGATGCTCTTGATGTATTGATAAATATACATAAGGTCTCTCGATTTTGATATAGGTGT